CAAAAAAGCACTGTATATAATAAGCTCTGAAGTCACATAGAGCACTATAATGTCACTTACACAACAAAGCACTATTATCATTTACAAAGGGAGTGGGAGGTAACAGAGCTAGCTTCCAAACAGCAGCATGAATAGCATTAGTTTGCAAACTGATGTACACTCACAGTGCATAACTTTACCAGATTCCTTTTCCACATTGTTTACACACCAACAAGCCTCTCGTGAGTCACCGTGCTAAAGCATCCCTGCTGGACTTCCCCTAAAGTGTGCTCACACTAATGGACCTCAATGCTACACTGTCATCAGCTTTACATGTTTGCAGACTTTAGGACAGTACCGAAAAGAATGAATCAAAATAGAAACAGTGGGATTTTTCACTGCCTGAACATGAGAATATTTACAAAGGAGAAGGCCGTTCGGCCCAAGAGGATGGAAGTTCTGTCATTTCAGCTGGCCAGAGTGCAAAAACAGCTGTTACAACCAGTGGTGACTGGACACCACTGCTGGCATGTTGCTTGCACAAAACAGCTTTTTTTTTTTTAGAGAATAAAGAATAAAGATATAAAATTCTTTACAGAGATATGCATTTCAGAACCCTTACAGCTTCTCTTTATTTTGTACTGGATTGCGATACGTTATCTGTGTTTTCAGGATGTATCAGCAAACGAACAAATTTTGCAATTGTTTTGCAAGAATGTCAAAGGGGGCAGATGGAGAATTCTTGCTAGTAGCCCTGCTTCACTCACCCACACAGACTTGTGGTATTGCACACCTCAAAGGTTATCAAGCATGGTAGCCTTCTTCTGTGCTGGAATTACATTGTAATACTGCACCACACAGAACATGACACTTTGTAAAAGAAAAATAACCAGATCGGATTAATTTGGATTGCAGCCATGTGGCCAGGTGGGCATCCAGGTTGTAACAGCGTTATATAGTAGTAATCCCTCATCTGCCTGAGGAAAAAGCCTAAAGCCACCATTATTTGGAACTGCTATCTCTCTCATGAATAGGGCCTTTCTTACGGCATTTTGTAAAGAGGCAGGCCCCGATTGTCACTACAACAAGAAAACGTCTTTGTAACAGCAAAAGACATATTTAATGGCTTGGCTGAGGACATAATAGCATCTAAAGGATTATTGGAAACACTCTTTGAACTGGAACAAAATTTCTTGTGATGCACATACTGTAAGAGGCATAGATCAAGTCCAGCTGATGGACACACTGATAAAGCACTTGATAGATGAAGCAGCTAATGCAAGTACAACAGGCAGAATCACTTACAATGGATCACAAGGACTGTCAAATATGTTATGCAGGTCCCATAATGCTAATTCCAGTTCCACAAAATCTGTTTGGCCAATTAACCAAACTAAATAGGTAGCACTCTAGTGACAGTGCAATCATAGTACTTTGAAACAGAGGTGCTATTTAAACTAGGATGGCCACCTGACAGCCATTTTGTTCTTTAGGAAGATACGCATCCTATCTTGCCAATCTGGGTGATTTCCAGACCACCATGCATTTCTCAAATTCCAAACTACTGCTGTATCAGAACTGCTACAATGATTTAACTTAAAGTCGACCTCTTTCATCACACTGAAATTTGCTTCAAACCTGCACTTCACATTTTGCTATAACACGTTCTACACCCACAACGGGTTGCCACCTGCATAGCAAATTTCACCCTATATTGCCAACTGCTGCCCTTCTTCAAAAGGCCAATATGATTTGACAAATAAGGTACACATTAGGTAACAATCATTCTTAATTGCTCTT